TAAAAGTCAACAAACAATTGCCGTATCTTGTGGGTAATGTTGTCGAGGTATGCAAATTAAAAAGCGAAGTGAAAATCTATGTTAAAATTATAAAATAAAGTTTATATTTGACACTTTTTTTTCTTACATTTTTTTTACGTGTCGAATTATTCAGTTACTCGATATGGATCCAAATGATGAGCCAGAGGAAGATGGCGCCAATATTGATCTCGATGCACATCGAAAAGGAAAATGCGCTGTAATTAAGACCTCTACACGACAAGTAAAAATGAATTCTATATCTAATTCATTATCATTTTACATTTTCAAATTTTTAAATCGAATTTTTTTTTTTTTTTTATCGGGTTAGACAATATTCTTGCCTTTAATTGGACTTGTTGATCCAGCTACTTTAAAACCAGGTGATTTAATCGGCGTAAACAAGGATAGTTATTTAGTTTTGGATACGTTACCTGCTGAGTGAGTCTTTATATTTTGCTTAAGGTATTCATAATGATCCCATAATAAGAACATCTTTATTTCAGATATGATTCTCGTGTTAAAGCTATGGAAGTTGATGAAAAACCAACTGAAGACTATAATGACATTGGAGGTTTAGATAAACAGATTGAGGAATTGGTAGAGGCTATCGTGCTTCCCATGACACATGCTGATAGATTCAAAAATTTGGGTATTAAGCCACCAAAAGGTACAGCGAAGATTATATCTACTGTTCCTATTTCATCTATGAGATTAATGAAAAAAAAAACTTTTTAGGTGTTTTAATGTATGGTCCGCCTGGCACGGGTAAAACATTACTGGCCAGGGCTTGTGCAGCTCAAACCAATTCCGCATATTTAAAATTAGCTGGGCCACAACTCGTTCAGGTGAATAATGGACCACTACATTTGTGAATAATTGCGATTTTTGTATGTAATTATTGTTTAATATCAATATGCATCAATTAAGATGTTTATCGGTGATGGTGCCAAACTCGTTCGTGACGCGTTTAATTTAGCAAAAGAAAAGGCGCCTTCCATTATTTTCATAGATGAATTGGACGCTATAGGAACCAAACGTTTTGATAGTGAAAAAAGTGGTGATCGAGAAGTACAACGAACAATGTTGGAATTGTTAAATCAACTTGACGGATTCAGCAGTGATGAAAGGATTAAGGTTTGTAACACAACTATCCATTAAATACATTTGTATCAATCATAATATTACAACATAAAGTTTATTGCAGGTGATTGCTGCTACGAATCGTATTGATATTTTGGACCCAGCACTCTTGCGATCAGGGCGACTTGATCGAAAGATAGAGTTTCCGCTTCCAAATGAAGAGGCACGTGCACGTATTCTTCAGATTCATTCACGTAAGATGACTGTTGGTTCCGATGTAAATTATGAAGAATTAGCTCGTTGTTGTGATGAATTCAACGGCGCCCAATGTAAAGCTGTTTGTGTTGAAGCTGGTATGTTGGCTTTAAGAAGAAATGCAACCGAATTGAATCATGAAGATTTTATGGACGGTAAGTTTTATAAATTAACTATACATATTCGGGTACATACATGCATACACACTGTTAGAGATGTGCCGCGTACAACTATGACTTGTGGCTTATAACTAGTGTGGCTGGTGTAGCACAAGTCAGGTGTTGTTTGTGTATGTGGTTAAGTACTGTACTATGAATTCTGCTAGCCAATCAGACTCCTAGAGATGACTATGCACTAAAAATATTCGACTTACTATGAATGGCAAATCTATACACACAAGTGCATACATAATAACCATATATATATAATATAAATATATCTATATTTTTTTATAAATAGGTATTCAAGAGGTTATGGCAAAAAAGAAGACTTCATTACAATATTATGCTTAGGTACAATACCTGCACTGAAAGAAATAAGCCTTCTTATCTAATTTTATTAATAAAGGTGAATGGTTTTCGCCATAAATAAAACGTTAAATAAATGTCTATAAATTCAAAACCTGTGTAACTTTAATAAGTCTTAATTATCGAATATCATTTACAAAAATGAAAGCTTAATCGGTCTAAGCCCAGAGCGGTACTGTATACAATTATTGTCAGCCGATATGGTTACACCGTGGTATTTGATGATTGGGTGAATTTGGCATAAAATTGCCTTTTTTGGATTTGGGTCTTTTAAAAGACAATCTAAATTTGTGTTATAGATAGTTGATTGAATTTTT